ATATTATCCTAAGTTATAAGAAGAAATGATATTTTATATTGTTATAAATACATTTCAGGACAGACCATTGAACTTGGCACCCATTTAGATCTCATCTCTTTTGTCGTAGAAGTCAACAATCAAGGTATATATCATAATATTAAACTCGGCTATCATTTCACATTTATGTTTTTGATGGGATATCATTACTTTTTGTACATAAATTATACGAGGTACTTATTTATAACTAAATTAATACCAAATTATTTTTGATAAATTACTGTATTTTCGTATATTTACGGGGTATAATTGTCTTTTTTTGTGTTATTTTCTATATTTTCTTGTAACTTTTAAATGTTCAAGTGCATTGCCAATTCAGTATCAGGAATTTTTGGGCAAATCGGGGCGGTATAACGTCCACAGATGATTGTACTCTACAATAGAGCTCTCGTGACTTGGATCTAAATTGTTAAGACGTACTCCATCTAAGGTTTTAACTCTGGAGAGTCCAACGTAAACCTGCCCTTTATTAAATATAGAGGAGCCTATGTTGAGAAGAGGACTGCTAAAACTAGTGATTTGTGGATAGTAATAGCATATGTTGAGCAAATACGGAATTGTTCTCTTTCAACTTATACATTATTTAATATCTGAAACTTCGTATTGACACGTTATAGTTCGTAAAGACGATTATGTAACAAATTGACTGTTATCTATTGAATTCTCAAGAAAACAATTTGTTACCAATGAGTTCTCATTCTCGAGTTAACTATACATTCCTACTTATAACTATACTAAAATTGTTATTAATTTTTGGTTTAAACTATTGTCTATACCATACGTATTTACTAAAATAATGTAATAATAATATAATTACAAATATATAAGTATAATTTAAGAAAGCTATAAATTTCGTAGCATAAATCGCAACCTTGTAGGTTAGATACCGAGAAACAAAACATTGAGTTTTATCGCACCGCTCCCACACGGCGCCGCCGCGGCGCCCTATACCGAAATGCCTATTATTTAATAATTATTTATAAAAATAATGATTTTACACTATCGATGTGCGCTAAATATTGAAACAATAATTAATACCAAATCTCAGGTAATAACATAATAAATACGAAATTCGACTATACTCCTAGTTATAAGTACGAGTATATTTTAGACAGAATCTAAATTATAGCAACTAGTGTTTACCGCTCAATACAATATTTGAAGTTTGCTAGTTATCGACACTGATGTGAAGGGGTCAACGTAAATTGGTGGCTATCGATGTTTTCATAGAATTTTAGTAGTCGTCCAGTATAAGTTGAAATAGAATCAATTAAAGTGAAAAATAGTAGTAAAATGATAACAATTTACCAGTTTCAGATTTTTCACTTTATATTCACCTAATTACCTATCTGCATGCCAAATTTGAACTTCCTAGGTCATCTGGAAGTGGGTTATAATTTTGATCTATAGTTGATCAGTGATAAAAATGACGATTTTTGGACATTAATATCTAAATAACCGTTTGAGATATGTTTATGAAATTTGGAACACATATTTATCTCGCAAGTCTCAATATATGAACCAAATTTGACAGGTTTGTGTGAAAGAGTTTTTGAGTTATGAGGGGGTCAAAAGTGGCTCCAAATGGTTCGTGTAAATATACACACGGTGCTGCAGGCCAGTTTACTTGAAACTCGGCTTGACACGCTACCGCGTGTCTAGACCCACTTCATGAAATAGAGGAGGTTCTCATTTCAACTGTATTTTTTATGCGTGTTACCTCAGAACATTTTCTGTATTAATAGATTTTAATAATTCTTATTTTAAAAACAATGTGTTATAAATTATATATAACTTATAAATTATAGATTATTTTATTGACATGTTAAACATAAATTTATTAGCGAACCAAGCGAGATCTTTGTAAGAAAACTTCTGGTTTATTGTTTATCTTAAAAGGTGGAACAAGTATAGAAATAATAATTTTACCAATCATGGAGTATTATTTGTTGATTCTGTAAGTAAATTTCGAATATTTTAAATACAAATTGTGTTAAATTTTGTTTATTATAGTCTGAAAGAACCAATCATCGATTGCCTTTCCATCGGTGATTGTTCTTGAATAAATAAGAGATTTATTAGTACGGGAACATTAGTAGAAGTGACAATTCATAAAAAAATATTGAATGTTTTGGACAATCACTGGATGCATGTTATGTTCGGTGGACATCGATAGTGAATAACTAAAGGTCGGTAAGGAAGGTATCGAAGCGGAGGTAGGGGTTAGAAATTAATAAGATTTTTGATCGATAAGATTAAAATGTTTTTTACTTCCAAAATTAAACGCAGGGCGTGTCGGCTTAATAAATTGCTCAAAAGTTTCAAGTTATTGATGTTTCAGCTAGCTTATTAAATTTGGATTTATGGAGCTCAAACTGATCGACAGTTTTCGTTTAGTGAATTTTGCCGTTCAATTACTTATGGTATGATTCAGCAATTTCTCTAGAACTGATAAAAATAATATGATATAAATATGAAAGTGCTGCGTATAGAGAAAATTGTACAATGTTTATAAAAAACTTAAGTATCATTACGTAAACGTCAAGGGTGCAGCCCAAAGTGTTGAGATATAATTAATTCATATTGCAGATATATTAGGCATCCAAGGAATAAAAATATGGAGACGCGAACATTTTTCGGAGGTTAGTACTACGGGGAGGTTAGTATAGACGTAGCAAAAATAACATTGTAAAATGTGATAATATTAGTAATGATTATTCAATGATTTTTTCCTAGAATAATGGTTCGAAATAAAATTAATAACATGAACAATTTTTGGATGCGATGATGCAAGTTAATTTAATTATAACTTGCTGTGATCCATAAAATTAATATAATTACCTAGTGGTAAATGAAATGTAATAATTACTTTGTAATATTATGCGTTGTGATGAAGTAATTTAATATTATAATTATTTTAACAATTCGCGATATTCAGAAAACAATACATATATTTACACCAAAAAAGACATTGTAATTTAACGTGGTAATGTACCCAAGATACTGGCATCGTTGCCTCTTTGAAAAGCCATATTTACCCTCTGTGCAAAGCAGCTATCAGCCCTGGTACAGATAACTTGGTGCCAATGTATCTACGTGTGTGGATAATATACTCATACTAAATGATTTCCTAGTTTCCACGGGACCAGGATCATACCGTCAGGCCGTTTCTCATCTTCGCGGTCAATAAAGGTTCCAGTATTGCCCGTATTTGTGCCGTCGACTACTGTTGACGAGCTGAATACTATTGATCATGGCATGAGCAGGTATTCAACCAGCACTTCTCAAGCAAGAGGTTCCATGGTGCCCTAACTCATCAAATCGATCATACGCTTATTGATTATGGTACCGAATTTAGCTTAAATGTTTTTTATCACAGCATTCTACGAAGATGATAATTTTATAATAAGCCATCTTGGATCTTAAGGGATATTTTTTCATTTCTATCGCCTCCCGTACCATTCATAGATAATAGTAGATTAGTAGAGAGAACATTAAGCGTATGCAACTGAATATATAGCAATTTGTTCCTGCATTAGAACGATGAACAATCGTAGATTTGTATAGTTCGTGGTTCGTCGGTTCGTGTTAAGACCCAACTAACTATATTAGTAATGTGTATTAAACATGTTTTAACGTTTAAAAATAATGCAAGAAGAATAGTAGTGTGAAAGTGTATTAAAGAATACTATTAATTTTAATTTCTAGTGTCTGTGATTCTCTGTGAAATATAAAATAACTCTGTGAAATATAATTTCTAGTTCGGGTTCCGGAGCTCCTGTAACGGAGAATCATATACGATGCATCTCAGGAATCATAGAAGAAAACGTTAGGATTTGTACAAATTTAATTGAAATACTACCATGAAAATCATGCAAGTAATTTTGTACAGTATTGCAGTACTATGTATCACTTATTTCTGGGACTAAGGTAGTTCGTTAAAAAACTATATTCTTTATGAAGGGTGTGAGATATTGTAGTTTTATTACACTGTATTTTGTTAAGTCTGTGACTGTTCGTTTCATTTTTGTTCATTTATTATCGATAACAGACTTATGATTTTTCACTCAGGACTATCTGCTTTTCTTATCCGTATTAATGGTGACTAATTACGTTAAGATTGACAATATAATACAAAACGTTCCTGCACAAAATGGAAAACAGAGTTTAGTAACATTGTTTGCATTTTGAAGGTACAGTTATTGTCAGTTATGAAGTTGGGTTGTTGAAAACAATTACCAACTGACTCAATTCAGAGATGGATATATAAACTTGTTACTACACGTAAGTAAAACATTGCATTCTAAACTTACGTTACTGTTTTTGTGATTTAACTTAAATTTATTATTAATAGTTATGAATATATCTCTACAATATCGGTAATTACTCGGTTATAAACTACACAGTCAAAAGATTTTGGAAAATGTTCAAACTTGACTGGTCGGTAGTAAGCAGTTAAGCACAACGCCTTACTTCCTATGGTTGCGGATTTGAGTCCTCGCAAGATTTAACAATTTGTAGTCATGAGTATGATTCTTTGAAAAAAATGTTTAATTATTTCTTTCAGTTGTTTAGTACACATAACACTAGATGGCGCTGTGTGAATTGTCCAGGGATATTAATATTTCATCGAACATATATTATAAAGTCTGGTTTGCTCTGATAACTAAGACTGATTTATTTTGTTTACTTTATTTACTTTCATTAAATCTTAAACAAGTAATTCTGAACAATATTAATTTAAAAGAGAAAACACTAAGTTTTTTGCTGGCATTTTCTTTGATGTCTGCGTCTGCATTTCGAATATGTGCTACAATAAAAAAAATTGTTTATATTAAGTTTATTTAAGTAAGGATTATTTCCATTTCTATTAGATAAGTGAATCTACGCATATTTTTCAAATTGTTTGAATATTAAATTATGAATAAATAAAAGATTAAATATATGTCATTCATGTTTTATTTATTTTTTGTAACGACCAGGATAATAACGCACATTGTTCGGAAGAAATTTATATTTTAACTACATTATTTACGAGTAGAGACACACAGAAATGTTATGAAATTGAATTACAGAGTTTGTATTTTGATTACATGATCACAAAGAGAGCTTTAAGAGCACTATAGTCTACTATAAAATTATATTCGTTGGATATCCTCGCTGTGTTGAAGGGTCCACGTTACAGTTATAGGGCAAGCAATGTAAATAAGTAGAAAGTCATAATTTTTTTAAGCCTTTTACATCGTTTATACATTTGAAACGGCTAGTAATACTTATACTTATATAATATAATCTATTAACATTTTACATTAGCATTTTAAATATATTTACATTTAAATTAAATTATGATAATCAATAAAAACTCTATATAAATGTCTCTATTAATGTAATAGCAATATACATGGCACATACAATATAAACATTTTCTCATAATGATATATATGAGCTATATAAATACAGTTCTCAAAGTCGTATTTAATATAAAGTGTTGAAGTTAAATGTCGTTATATTTATATTATTATAACGCACTGATATTTGCCTATAAAACTATATACAATTCTCATTAAAAACTAGTTATTATCACGTTACACAATGATGGAGAAATGGTTAACCATAATAAAAGATATATATCAAAACGTATATAAAGTAATTATACATACTTATTAAATACCGACTCAATAGATATACGATAATTAAAATAGTTAATAATTTAAAAAAGCTTTTTCAAAGCCACTGTCATGAAATACATAGAAATACGTTTTAACTATCGATAATTTCATTTAAACTGTGTATTGAGTCTTTGAGTGGACAAAAATTAAAATCAATAACTCTTTCATGTTTGTATGCTTAAACAGTAATTATAGAATTGTTTGAAACAGATATAGGAAGATTATTGTTATTGTTAGGCCTGTAGTAGCAGCTGTGGAGTGTTCCGAGTTCGCCACCACAGTTTTGCCGTCGTTAGCGTACCATTTATTTGCGCGATCTGGGACTCTGTTGCTTTTAACGTTATCATTTTCCTGGTCCTCGTCGTAGGCCTCGGTACCGTAATCGTCATCCGAAGTAATTCGTTCGTCCGGATATTGGTCGATATGCCTGTCGTTGCCGGGAATTTCTGTTAAAATAAAGGCCTATTATATTCCTCATAAAAAGAATAAGCGCGTGACGATATAGGTTACATAATCGATGGAGTAAACAAATAAGTTGTAACCAATGTTATGTATTTTTTTAAAAACTTAATAATGAAAATATATGTAATTAATTTACCGTAGAGTCTTATTTTGCTTTCAACATCTCCAAGAGAATTCTTAGCTACGCATATGTAACTGCCTAAGTCTTCTCTGCGAATATTTTTGATGGTCATAGTCATTTCGGCTTCAAACATGGATTTCTGTCTGACCGTCATCTCATGGTGCTCTGATGGTATTATCAGCTCACCTGCGGAACAATTTATTACTTAAAACACTTGCTTTCAAATTCAATATTAGAATTTCATCTTTCCTCGGGAAAGTTTTATGAAAAATGTAAAAACTTCGAGCAGACACCTAGAGTTTTATGGCTGCCTTATAATTTGTTTCGCTTTTATCAGGGATGCTTCAAAGACTTAATCAAATGTTATACTTATGTATATATTATTTTGATAAATAATTAATTGGTAATAGAAGTTACACGTCGAAATACCTGGATCTTTGACCCAGTAGTTAATGGATTTGGGCGATGACTCAACGTAGCACTCGAGGGTGACGTCAGTCGCCAAAGGTGCCCCCACCAGCTGATTTGGTACTTGGATCACTGGATGAACTATGAAAAAATAACGTAATATTTTTATTTAAAAAGGTTTAAAATCTTATCTTACTTCGATAACAGTACTTAAAGTTGATTTAAAGTAACAAAATAACAATAATATAAAGACTATTATATCAAAGTTTTTGGAAAAAACTAATTAGGAGAATAAGTAAATTAAATTACAAATATTCATTTCAATTAGAACGTAAGAATATAGAATTCATAAATTTTATACATAGACTCTGAATGAAATTCGTAGGTATGTCAATTCGGTACTAAATTAGGATTAAAAATTGTCATGCGAGGTATACGTAATTTTTAACTTTATTCCTATTTTTTTGTTTATTTACTACTTATACTCTTGTTAATTTTATTAAAGAACTTATACTATACTTCATTGTACCTTATACCAATATCTTATAGTGAGGATAATATAAAAGAGATATTATGAGATCACTTACAATGTACACTAATATGTATCCTCTTACTGACCGTAGGCGGCACCCCATTACTGGCGATACATAAGTATGTACCCATTTCCGAACGTGATATCTTCGTCAGTTTTAACACTTCACCTTGGTACGTATGCACTGTGAACATTAGCCTAATTTCAGCTACTATATAAATAATGAACATATAAGCTGACATTTTGATATGCGACAACAAAATAACTATGATAGATGAATTATCAGGTCGACACATTATGTTGTTTCGTGGTATCCAGTCGTTTGTTAGCGGTGAATACTTTTGACATTATAATGAGCATGTATGCAATACAATTTTTTGCTCAATAAACAAATAAAACAGTTGAAAACCTAGAAGTCTATTCAATGGTGAACTCTACTAATTACGACAAACTTTAAACAATACTGGACGCGAAACTCATCCCGAGAACGGTCGCCGCTCGGCTCATTGTGGAGCCACAAATGCGGTCACACAGACATTCGTACTATTATTATACATATTCGGAAAAACAATGCCGTTCTTGCGCTATTGAAATAAACTAAGACAAATGAAATATTTTTCCCGCGGCTCTCGGAGCTCTGAAATTTTGGACTCAATTATTTGCTGTCATAAATTTATTTGTAAGCGGCCGAGGCACGACAGTGGCAGTTTCCTGCCGTTTTTCTCAAAGGACACTGTAATATCGCACAAAAGCTAAAGCACTCTCAGAATCAAATGATTTCAAAATTTATTTTAACTGAAAAATATGAAATCATTTATAACAATTAAACAGTGAATATAAGAGATTTACATATTTAAAGACATACCGATTGCGATTAAAATTGTATATTAATTTATAAAAATAAGTAGGTATATGGAAAATTCAAATGGTAGACAGTAAAATGAAAATATTATGTGATAGCTAATCGACTAAGAAAAGCGATTTAACTATAATAATCAGTAATTAATGGTTAGATCTGTATAATTCAAAACATTATTATTAATTTGTCAAAACCACGACCATATCTGTAATTGCCTCAGGATTGTTGCAACAAATGAAAATGAGCTTCCAATCGTGTTAGCGTGTCTACTGATTTTATCTTTGTTATTAGCTTATTTCACTATAGTCTCGGGCGGTAATTCGAAACAATATTCTACTGAAATTCCATTAAGGCTATTTAACTTATAATAAATGAAATAATGACGCTGAGTGAAAACGAAATTTAACACTGTATAGGTAATTCACTGGGATTGGATATCTGGTAAATTATTCACGAGGGTCCGTCAGAGTTGTTATTTAAGCGATAAATAAGGCCATTGGGATATTAATTTCAATAATAAATAATAGATTAAAATATACATAATATTCAAAAGGTTTACTTTAACTATGTTTAATACGCTACGAATCCATTAATATTTATTATGAAATCATTACTTCATGTATTAATAACCATTAAGTTAAATTTTAATAAATTGCAGTTATTTTCTTATATTTGAAGGTAAACCAAATAATAAAAACCTATATATATTTTTTTAATTGTTAATAATCTTGAATATATTTAACAATTAAGATTAATAGTAATAAACAATGTGAATAATTAGCAATCAGTTAAAACCAATATTCCTAATTTATAATGTAAATGTTAGCTATATTTAACGTAATTAATAATTTACAGTGTTTACTTTTGCTTTTCGCCCCGGTGTGGTCCCGAACAACGATTTCTTGGCCGTCTTCCCTTTTCCACATCACCCTTGGCGCCGGGACGCCCCGCGCCCGACAAGACACCCTTGCAGTACCACCCTCTGGTACCATAGTGTCCCCTGATGTTTCTTCGGTAATAAAGTCTGGAGGAATTACTACGTCCAAAGAGCCCATCTGTAAAAATGATATTTTTAGAGCATTGGTAAAACACGTACATTAAATTGACTGTGTATTTAATCCATACTAACATTATAAATGTGAAACTGTATCTGTCTGTTAATTATACTATATTTGTAAAGTGTTATTAATGAAATTTCACATATAGCTAAATTCTCCCAAGGGGATAGACTATATACATATTGTAATAGGAATGGGAAAAGAGCTGATGGCCTACCTGATGGCAAGTAGTGGCCGCCGCTTATATATATGAACAGAGAGGATGGCTTAAAATTATCATCTGTCGTGGAATCCAGTCATAAATAAATTCAAGCAAAGTTCAGTAGCATCAATAGTCAATAAGTGTACGGATACCGTGAGTGCTGCGTGTCGCGAACTTTCGTTAAACAATCTAGTGACGGTAGATGAAGAAAAAACTGCTGCCACCTATCTACATTGACATCGCTGTTACTGCTCAGCTCGTGACCACGGCTAGTGCAACCTAGTCCAAATGTCGAGAGAGGTATATCCTTTATTTGCCATAAAATTATTCGTGTAAGACCCGGTTAATAATTTAAATAATGAAAGTTTCTACAGACAAAGTCGCAGCTATCGGAAGTAATACCTAATAATAATAAAATAATTCAGTCTAATTATTATAAGTATAATAAATTTTATGTACAAACATTATTTAAATGTTTCAGAAAATATAATAAAAGAGGTTTATATCAAAATAGCATAATGTTTATTTATGGCCGAATGTAAAAATGCCAATTAAGCTTTCTATTCGCATACATATGTATTCAGCAGGTTCAAATTAAATTTAACTTTGTTAATAACGACTACCATGCCTGTTTCATGATTAAGTAAGTGTTTTGTTTAGTTAAGAAGAATATGTATGTAACTTGTAGTAAAGCTGTTAGGTTGCGTATTCAAATATAAAGGTCAAAATCTCGTAAGCTAGGTAAATAGTTAAAAATTACTAGGCTGGCAAATTAATAAAATTGACAGCAAGTATACTAAAATAGACTAAGTCTATTCAGTGAACTTACTAATATTATAATAAGAAAGTGTGTATCTATCTTTTCACGACCAATACGAATCTTAATATTGAAGATAGGTTGTACCACGAGGACGGAGGTAGGCTAAATTTTATTTTTAAAAAATACACAAATTCCGGATTAATACTAGATTATATATAAAAGTCAGGTATATACCCAATTAAGATAATTTTTATTTTCATTAAAATAATATGAAAAATACAAAGCGCTGATACGTATTCGAATTTCGGTTTATTTAAAAAAGATCAGGTTATTTTGCAAGGTTGTAATTTGGAGAAAATTGTAATCAGACTAATTGAAGCTCTTTCAGTTTTATATTCTCGTAACGGGAGCGAGGCTGCCGATTGCGAATGGCCCAAAGCGTTTTCGTAGCAACCGTGAATGGTAACATCATTATCGATTTAGTTAGTAGAAATTCGTGATGTTTATTTTTTAAACAGTAAAGAATAGGATGGCACATACTAGTATAATATATACTTGTTTTTTCTTGCAGTTGCGTTCTTGTTAATGGTGATTTTGTCAATTGTTACCTATGAACATTAATTCTGCATATTTAGAAATTAATCGGATGGCGAAATAAATTATAAAATTCATATAAAAAAACCCCTTCACCCTTTACCTACTCCAATCCTGTATAAATGATGTGCGAAAAAAAATTGCCTTTACACATTTATCTCAATAACAAAATTTATTCTAATCCGTTCAGCGGTTTAGGCGTGGCAGTATAACAAACAAATTCACTTTTATATTTATGTTATTATTAAATTAGAATGAAATTAATTTGGTATACGTTGTTTATTAAAAAAGCCTAGGATTTGATTACCCCGAATAGACTTTTCAAATCCAATAATTTGTATATAGTTTTATAAAAATGACACCAACCTGACTCTTCATCGGGTCTGTATTGATTTGACACATGTATTGTCCTCTGTCTTCTTCTTGTACGTTCTTGATGTGGAGGTACCATGTGGAATGGTCGCTGTGAGATACTGATACACGGGGATTGTGAGTGATTACGTGCTCGTGGATAGCCTGAATAGCTTTCGTGTCTGCTTTCACCCAGCCCACCTACATGATAAGCATCATTATTGTAGGTACCGATAAGCGGGATTTATTAAATAAATAAAAAATAACCCTGGACAGCGCTATCTAGTCCCAGGATAAGCAGAGCTTGTATTATGGGTACTAGACATCTGATATAAATACCTTACTTTGTAAATACATACATAATTTATATATAGAAAATACCCAGACTGATACAAAAAATCATACTCATGAATGTTTGCACCAGAAGTAAAGCGGTGTGTTAAATCGCTAGACCACCGAGGCTGTCAAATTTATTATTAGACATTATACAGTTGTAATAGTTCTAATAAACAAATGAATAGACTAGGACAAGGAATAGTTTGGTTTGTCTAAATTTCAAATACCTATTTGCCAAATTATTTGATAATAGGTTCAGTCATTACATAACAAACAGCGCACACATTATCACTCATTCATTTTTACATTATCAATATTGGTTTTTGTATTTCTTTTATATACATTTCCACATGCACATAATATGACGAGGGGTTTCGAATTGAACAACATAGACAATACGTGCTTACTTTGGGCACTGAGACGGATACCCTTCATACAGAACTCTGCGAATTCAAATTGAAAGTAAGTTTACTCGCCATTTCTCGAGTACAGATAGATCCAATGCTGTGTAAATAGTACGTAATAGTACATACCCGAAAGTTTCCGAGATTGACAACGATGCATTTGAAGGTTGCGTCACGTCCTAGGGGGACCGTTAAATTAGTGATGGGCTCTCCAAACTCCGGCACTTCGATACCCCCTATAAAAAATAAATATAAATATTAGTATAGAGAGATATTTTAAGAAATATACTAATAATTAAAATATTTTTAATCATCATTGAAGTAATACATTTTCATTTTAATATATTTCAGTGTGTACTCAGTTGTTTATTTTTTCATGTTATATCATTTATTCCACCCAATTAATATTAATAGCAACCTATTTTTATTTCTATGTTGATTAACCTATACAGGGTTAATTGAATCAGCCCACATGTCGGTCAACCCGCTGCCCATGTAGACCACTTGTGAAAACATATTACATTCGGTCCCTATATATTGAGTATAAAATAAAATTGATTCAGCATATCAGTATCAGAATTTTATTGCAGTGATTTGCTTATACAAACATCGGTACTGGAGCGGAAAAGCGTGCAGTCCCAACTTCCGATGGTTGTGAGTTGGGTGCCGGTAAATATATAAATATATATATACTGATAATGGAAATTCGTGGGAAGTGGCAAGAGCCCATCGACAAGATCCTGGCTCTTCAATTATGAATGAATGAATATAAACTTGAACTTATGCCTACGTTTGTATTTATTTATAAGTGTTCTTATATGTATATTTGTCAAAAAATAGGTATGTACATACATTTAAATGTGGATATAATTGTAAGATTTATAATTAAAACATGTAACTTACAACATGACAATTATTTAAACAAAGCAGCTATGGCTGGTAGACTCCAAGAAACTAAGTTGCATTGCATTAGTTTGTCGACCGTGTGTTTATAGGCTTATCACATTTGCAAGTATGAAGTTGAGTCGCGCTCTCGCGATACTGTCACACTCAGTTGCACCTCGTTCCGAAGACCCAACACAAAGTGTCAACTAACCACTCAACTTGGCCCACTATTCGTGGTTTCAACTCGTGAACGTAAAGTGACACGAATAAGTTTCCAAGTGATAACTAGACCGCACTACGCCTTCTATTATCGTGTACACACTAACTAACTCAATTATTCAAACTACGGGAGACAGAAACAATTTGACGTTAAACTCCATAATCGAGTATTCCTTGTTTTAACTGGGCTAGTTTCTGACTTACACAGATGTTTTCCTTATCATGTTAACTTTAGAGTTTACGTGTAACTGATTTTAGTATTGTTTTGCTGTACCTTACATTACCTGACGTAATAAGTATTGAGTATTGAGGGAATATCAAAAATAATTTGTTTTACAATAATGATAAAGATCTTAATAAGACTTAAGTCATTACTAAAATCAACTAGTTATATTTTCATTGTAGTATGATGTACAGAGTGGAGGTATGCAGTTTGATTGCATTTTTATGAGTTAATGAATTAGAAATAGATATAATCTTGATTCAAATAAACTCAATACAAGCACTTCTTAATAGTAATATTTTTTATTCTACCACTCATTCGGAACGCATACTCAAGAAGAATGAGCAAGAAACTTATGTTGTTACTATTTTAAATAAATGTTATTTAAAATAAATATTTACTCAATAAAAAATAAGAAGCATGCGATAATCAGCATAGAAACCGATATGCGTCTATTTTTAGTGCAAACTAATAGTATTGTTAACGTTATGAATTTTAAGTTTTTTGTACAAAATAATTTTATTATTTATAAATTCTTATATATTCTAATAAGCATTTTTTCAGAGACAGTGTTTTATACGATATTTGAATCTTTTTAAAGATTACTGCAAGAGATTACTTAGCGATAACTAGACGGTCTCCGCCTTTTGTATCAGTCAATATATATTTTCTATTTTAATTGTTTCTTTGTTTATTTAAGTGGTGCAATAAAGAGTATAAATAAATAAATAACTTTAGTTAAACGCCGTTTGGGTAAAATCAGTTTGTTATTATTACGTCTATATCTTTATTATTATATATTCCTGGCATACTTGATATTTTCGTAAATGTATTGAGAATCAATGGAGATGATGATGAATGATATGTATGGTAATGATGCAATGACTGAATAACTTCGTTTTGTTTTATGTGTATTACGAAAAAATTATTAAATTTAAAATAATTCGACGGCTTCGGTGGTCTAGCGGTTTAGCTCACCGCTTTACTTCCGGTGGTGTATGTATCGATTCCTTACACGGTACAAACATTTGTATTCATGATTATGATTATTGTATCGGTCTGGGTCGGCGCTGTGTTAATTGTCAAGAGGGTTATTTATTTTAGTTTTGCTTTTATTATAAATAAAAATTATCACCACAATATACATGACATGACAATGTACACATGAGTAGAAAAATGCACTCCGTTACGAAAATAAATTTACACATACAAATAAATTCTTCTCAATTAACGCTAGTTGTAGTCGCTTATGTTTGTGTTACCAGTAGTTCGTCGACTGGTATGCACATTAAAAACCTGACAAATGGTGTAATTGTTTGCCATTCATTACTTAAACTTTTGTGATGCATTATAGTAATTAAACAAAAGAACTAATGCCTTAAAACTTTGTTAACATCATATCCATCAGGCAGTGGAACATAACGACGGAATCCATGTACTATAAAAAACTGATTCTATATATTACTACTTACTATCAAATCAGCCGCTTTCTTGTTATTTCTCACTCCAGATCCACAAAAAAGCAGTATAGATCAATTGTTAGTGTGTCAAACAGGTACAGAACTGTTTACATGTTATGGTCCAACTGTACAAAAGATAATCCGAAATAATTCTAATATATCATACGTAAACGTTTAAATCCAAATCTACGTTACGTGATCTCTGAACTTTTGATGTATTTTATCGAGTTAAGCATTACAGCTTTAAGGGTCAAATTAATGTACCAACTTGAACTCCATCAGACACCTAAGTGGCTAAGTTTCATACACTCAGGACAAGAGTATAATATACATAAATGCGAAAATTGCACTTCGTGTAGTGATATGTTGCGTTAGAGAAGCGGGTAGGAATGTTTTGTCACCTTTACGAGCCACGAGAGACACTCAAATAGTAAAGCTGGTGTGAAAACAGTCATGATACCTCTTTGCTTCTTTCATAGCTAATACAACTTTATTGATGTCGAAAAGAGCAAGATCCTTAAGACCTAGCCAAAATAGCGTCGTCTGTCTTCTTGTTATTACTCTGGAGCACTATTCGTGAATATTATTCTATCAGTTTCTTTTATAGACAATGCTACAGAAAACTGTATATTGTTTATCTAACAATAAGTATCGTTGTCTTTCATTATTTATATCTATAAAATAATTTATAATTTATTATATGATACGATAAGCTACTTATACGGTTTGCTGTTTTTTATATTCGTCATATAAAACAATTTGCTAAAAATGTTAATATTTTTTACGGTTTTTTATATTTCTATACATTAAGTGAATCCTATAATTTCACGGGTCGAATGGAAAATGGCGGTGGATGTAAACTATTATAACTGTCGGATAAATCTGTCAATCCGCTTTCCTATATTTTTTCTATGTGCGCTGCCATGACTACGACTCGAAAACTCTTAATGGTAACGACAAAATATTCAATGATTCATTCATTCAAACTATTTTTAGTATTGTACTTGTAAACTTCTTTTAAAGGCTATCGAATAATAGATTTTATGTACTGAAGACCTTCTACTGTAGCTTTAGTACACCTACTATTACACACCTATTATCTTAGATGAATTCACTACTCTTTTATAATCCAAAATAAATACAGATTATTGTTATTGAGTATAGACAACATTCGTTCAAGTTATAAATGTTCTTTTAAAAGAATATAATAAGGTTGCTTGCACCACTGTTCATATGCAAACCTGCTAATTATTTTGCAACAACGACGTGGTGTCTTCTTCGTTCTCTGAGGGTGCGGGTGGGGGACTTGGAGCGAACCCCTTTGCTCCGGTTTCTTCTCCGGGGGCGTTAAAGTATATATGTATAACTACATCACATAGATACTAAGTATAATTGTGACTGTGAAAAAAAAACAAATAACAAGCTGTGTTTTAACCTTTACGTTAATTGGCTTTTTGATTACGAGTTATTTAAATAATGTTATTCATATTAACCTTAAAATAACTATGAGGATCGTGCCTCAAATTTTATTGAGCATTTTCCGGAATATTTATTTTAAAAAGCTCTCCATAACAGCAACTATAGCGGAGATGTAACGCTACTGAACGGTCTCGTGGAAGGCAGTAAAAACTGCCATTTTGCAACGGCAGCGTCCACAATATCGTGGCAGACTGGGACGCAGTAAAATGTTTACAAAATATCCTGCTTTTGTTGCGGGTGCCACTAGAAGTGTTGGATATTGCTTTTGTATTACCGTTTTAGCGTAAACTGAGCCAGCCACTTTCTTCCAGATGTTGTAATAGCTCTATTCGCGGATGCTTGTTCTTTTTGTCATTTTTTTATCAAATTATTGCCTATCTTGACAATGCTACTGAATATTTTATTTATAAGCACATCCATGATACTTGGCCATGGTTATAACCGCTGTTAATTAAGAGTTGAATTAGTAAATATCAATTGTACTTAAAATAATTTTTAAAACACTCGATTACTCTATGAGGATCAGTTAGCCATGTATCTTTCTATATATCTGTAAATAAATACGGAACATTCGTTCTGGTTACATAGCATATTATATTATTTTGAAAAAGTATAAAACATTGCGATTCTGGTAATTATTTGTGACAGATCCTTCTGATAACTTAGTTATTGCATTGACTAAATTAAATTGCCACTCAATTGTCTAAGTTTTTTTCTGTTCATCATTGAAAAAAAGGTATGGCAAAAAAAAAATTGATTTGGTACTCCGAACTATTTTGCTGTATGAATGTTATAAAATTTCTTAAAATGACTTTATTATAAAAAAAATTAGTACCTATTTTTTATTATTAAACTTATTATTATACATACTTTAATCTTTTATACAACGTATAGACGCGTGAACTATTTAAATATTATTTAGAAGTTATAATTAGAAGACACAGCAGATACTAGTGTTTTCAATTTATTT